TTGGCAGGAGTGCGGTCCTCTGGAGTCAGAGGCCATGGTGATGGGTGTCCTGAATGAGGCCTTTGATGTCCTGGTGCTGAAGTTTGGAGTCCAGAAGCGCATCTACTGCAACGTAAGTACCTCACACCGACGGTGCTGCCTCACCGGAGAGGGCTGCAGCAGCCTGGCATCATGTCCTGCCCCCCTTCTGTGCCAGCCCCACAGCCAGCAGAGCTGCCACCAAGCCAGGCTGGCCGGAGGGGAGGGAGCCTTCCTGGGGTTCCCCCTTCCTGGTCTGGAGCAGCCCTGTCTCTGAGGACCGGCTTCTCTGTGCTGGGGGTGATTAGTCTAGTTAAAAGGGAAGAAAGGCAGATTCGGAGGGACAGAGATCAACATGGGGCTGAAGTGAGGAAAGGGAGAGAGGCTGGTTTTCATTTCATTTAATCAAACGGTATATCTGGGGCTGTGACAGCACCACTGTAGGCCAGCACCTGTGGTTAGTGACAGCATCTTCTCTTAATAACCTGGTTATATGGCTGGCAATGACATCTTTAAACAGGACATATAGTGTGATATATGGGCTGTTTGTGTATCGCAGCAGCCCCTGATTTACGTGCTAGGCTCAGGCTCACGGGCTGCTGCATTCCGGTTGTTAAAGACCTGCAGAGGCAGTGTGCTGGGCAGAAGCAGCATCGTCCCCATCCGCAGGCGAAGTGGAGGAGGAGAGCTGAATGGGGGGATGTTGTCAGGGCCACAGCCGGTTCCCAACACTCTCCCTGCCCACAGGCGCTGCCCTTGCTGGGCTTCCACTTCCAGAAGGTGGGGAGGAAGCCGGAGCTGACACTCATGTGGGAGCCAGAGAAGCTGGAGCAGGAATCTGTGCCCCAGGTAAGACCCCCCCAGCACAGGACAGGCTCACAGCACCACGGGGCTGGCGTGGAGGCTGTGCGCGACGTGTGGATCCCACAGTCTCCGCAGGGACAGGTCCAGGAGGCAGGACTGCTTTGCAGGCTGTCAGGTCCCGCCGTCCCTCTGTGTCTGCTCCCCAGCGAGCCCAACCTCAGCCTCAACCTCGTCTCTCATCCAGCCCAGCTCCTTCCTATCGCTGCCCTCGCATCTGACCCCTCCACAGCCTTCAGACTCTGCCCTGCCTGCTGCGTGCCCTGCCTCCCAATTCAGTTTCCTCCAGGAATTGAATTAACATGCTGTTTACTTCCTTCTTCCAGATCATCAATTAAGATGTTAAGTAAGATCAGGCCTAAAGCAGCTCCCATCTAGACCCTTCCCCCCATCCTGGCATTCCTTGCCCCCTCACTGGCACGACCCTTCCTTCAGGTTTCCATCCTGTGACAGGGTTGAGACCCAATTAGGAGGAATTTTCTGAGTCAGATTTCCTGAGATACAGTGTCAAATGGTTTAACAGCATCTAGAAATCTCTCTCTCATGTCCCTGTCATCTATTAACTTGGTAACTCAATCAAAAGGAGCAATCGCATTTATCTGGCTTGATTAAGTGGTGCTTCTTTGCCAACTTTTGTCTGGCATGGTTATAAAATCACAGCTGTGTTGACTGCTGTGATTCCTGCCTGCTGCAGGGCAGGGGCGGGAGGGCTGAATCCCAACCTCTCCCTGCACCACTCCAGGGGGTCAGCTCTTCAACCCCGTTTCCAGCACAACCCATCCTTGTCCACCTAGGGCTGGATGAAAAGGACTCCCGAGGCAGGGCCAGGCTGACCAGGCTATACTTCCAGCTAGTATGATGCATGTCCTGGGGAGTCCTTTCCTTCCCTGGGGAGATGTTGCGGTCAGAGCCGGCCGAGCTCCCTGGCTGCTGCAGGCATTTTTGCAGGCCTCCCTCCCTTTGACGCTGAGCTTTCCTCTCTCAGCTTGGCTCAGAGAAGCCCCCTGGACACGGTCCGAAGTGGCCTCGGTTCCTCCTTTCCTACAGGAGCGGGTATCACTTACACCCTAGCAGGGACCCGCATGAAAAATGATGCCCCAGCATGAGCAGGGACCATTTTGGTTAAGCAAACACTCAGCAATGGAGGAAACTCCTCCACGAACCCTCCACACCTCCTAAGAAAACACCAGAGCCCTCCCCTGGGAGCAGGCTGTGAGCTGTCCTCCGAGCCAGCAGATCCCCAAGTCGATTAATCTCCAGCCCTGGGATGAGCCGGATCCCCCGGAAGCCATGCTGAACCACGGGAGATGTCACCCAGACACCCTGCGGCACCAAGCACCCTGTGCTCCCCGCCTGGCCCCGGCGCTTGGCTTCTGCTTCCCAGTTTGGCTCAGCCTGGCCGGACAGCAGGATCGTTGGGGAAGGCTGTCTGCGGGAAGCTGTGCAGGGGTCTGGGCTGCCCGGCCCTGCCGCAGAGGGGAGGTGGTGTCCTCATCTCTCCCCAAGCTCCAGGAGATGGCCAGGATCTTGGTGGGCATTACTCAGGGCTTGAGTATGAAGTGGATCTGAAACTTGGGGCATTTGATGTGAAATTGTGCTGTTCCCCGGTGGTTCAGCAAAGGGATGGGGCAGGTTTGCAAGGGAGACCCCTGATAATCCCCCTCTGACTCCTCCAAACATGGGGGGGCTGCCCCATGGCCACTGCCCCATGCACTCCTGCAGCTGGGGTGGGCGGGCGACTGGTGCTAGACAGCCAGCAGCTATCTGTGCAGCCGTCTGCAAAAGGATTTCCCTGTGGTTTGCTCCTCGCTCGCCACTTTGATGCATTTAAGTCTCAATGAGATTTTCCTGCTCTGAATGATTAATCTGGAGCGGCCGGCGCTGGATGAGCTGGGAAGGGTTTGACAAGGTTACGCCGGTGGCTCTGTGCCTGCTCCTCTGGCGGGCCAGCCCCGAGCAGATGGCCCCATCGAGCCCTGCTGCAGCGCAGGGCTCAGGGATGGGCTCCGGCAAGCAAAGCCCCCCCAAATCCCTGGCCACAGCCCCGGGGCAGCCCCTTCCTGGTGTCCCAGCCAGCCCGTTGACTGTGCCTCGTGGATAGACCTGGTCGATGCTTTACACTTCTGATCCACACAATTGGATGAAGAGAGGGAGTCAGAGGACTGGGGAGGCAGCGGCACGTTCCTGAACAGGAGGGATTGATTTTCTGTGGTCTTTATTGCCTTGCGTCTCTCTCGTCCATCGTGCTGCCTTCCCCTTGCTCTGCAGGCACGGGGGGTGGGGGTCGTTCCCTCCCTGTGGGATGCTGAGAAAATGCTCAGTGTCATGTGGAAAGCCCTTCTTGCCGCAGCTCACCGCTGGCGCTTGGCCAAGTCGCTTCATTAAGGGATGATGTGCGTTCTCTGGCTGGAGAAGGGAGACACGAGCGGGCTTTAGGGGGAGATTGGGACCCAAAGCCAAGGGCACAATCGCCCCCCACTCCTTCCCAGGCTGTGCAGAGGACAAGATTGGGGCCTGATCAGGCAGGAATAAGGGAGGACGTTTTGGGAGGCTTACTTAGGTCAGTTTGGGTTCTCTGGCTGGCTTTGCAGCCCAGCGGTGCTGCCCTTGAAGATGCTGCATCCAGCCCCAGCCCTGGTAGCACCCTGGACCCCAGCAGAGCTATCTGAAGCTGTCCTGCCCCCTTCCCCGGCTCCCCATGGGAGCTGCAGCACAGTCAGCAAAAGCCAGCTCAGGTCTAAGCAAATCCTGATCTGATGCCAAACCACCTGAAAAACCCTCTTCTCTCTGTCTTTTTCTCCCTCGCTGAAGGTGATCACCATTTTCACGCTGGTGGAGGTTGTGCTGACATCGGACGGTGTCCCGCTCAAGTACAGTGCCCTGCTCAAGAGACCGAGCTTGGAGAAGTGAGCGCCCTGGTCTGCGCCTGCTCCCCGCTGCTGACGCTTGCTCCCCTCCCAGGCCCCGCACCAGCACCTGCCGGGACAGAGGGGACCCACGAGGAGTTTGGGGTTTTGAGTTTTAAGATTGATGCCGTTTTATTTCTGGTTTGGATTTTAACTCTGGCTGGGAGTGGGGCTCAGGGCTTGAGCCTGCCCCAGGCAGAGCATTTCTACTCTCGGCTATTTTTAGCTTGAAGCTTTTTTTTTTTTATTTTTTTCCATAAGGCCATCCCCAGCCACCTCGGGTGCCCATGGTGAGGGCCGAGCAGGGACGCATGTCCTCAGGAGCAGAGGGAGCTGGGTCCACCATCCCAGGTGGGATGTGGTGAGATGCGGCTGCGGGGCCATACAGGAGGGTTTCTTGCAGGCTTGTGTGTCATGTAATAAAAGCTGGGTCAGCAGCCGCATGGGGGATTTGTGCAGGTTTTATTTTGTCTCCACGTTCCCCTGGCCAGGAATCCCAGCAGTAACTCATCTCCTGGGCAGCCCCGTGCCTTCCCCTGGCTGCCGCTTCCCAGGCGTTGTGAAATCCAAGCAGCCTCGCTGCCTCCCCCAGCCCCAGGATGTCACCTCGCTTGGGGACCCTGCGGCTCCACATCCTCACTTCTGCTGCTCGAGAGAGCAAGTGTCCTCACAGACCAACCAGCCTCTCTGCCGTGTCCAGGCCCCTCTGCCTGCCTCCTGTCCCCATGTCCCCGACCCGTGCCATGCAGGATGTCCACCATGGCACAGGCTGCTCTGGCAACCTCAGCTTCATCACCTCCGTGGGGACGGGCAGTTGGGGACGGGCAGTCACCAGTGGCAGCTGTTGGAGGAATTGATGTCTGGTGAGATCTGCCATGCCAGGCAGGGAGGGTAGTCCTGCTTCACTCTGCCTCATGGGTGGTGGCAGATGTGGCCTTGGCATGGACAATCTGCCCTTTGCAGGAGCCAGGAGCTGGGCAAACCCAGGCTGCCCAGTCAGGATGGGGGATCGAGCCCTGGTGGGTCAGGGCTGGGTACAACACGTTCCCCAGCAGCTGGCAAGCTGTGAAAGCCATCAGGGTCACCTGCAGTCCCCAGAGGTTAGGCTGCTGGCAACCAGGTGGCCTGGTACAACCACATGTGGACATCACCTTTGGATATGGGAGAGGGTGGGAGCAGGTCTCCTGCTCCTCGCTGGGCGGTGGTGATGCAGCACGTACCTCGCTGTGTGGGTTCACTGACACGGGCTGCCCCAGGGCCTGACGGGCAGCGTGTGACCATGTCCCCTGGGAGAGAGGACCTGAGGACACTGACACCAAAGGCAAGACGTCCTCCTCCTACCCCTCAGCCCGGTGTCCCCCTCCTCAGGTTTGTCTTGAGGGAGACAAGGCTCCAGCCCGACCCCGCTCAGCTTGTTTGCAAAAACAGCACTTTGCCCTGCGCCCTCCCTGC